TGTTGCTTCTTACTGATTTTCCCCTGCACTGACTTCCCACAAATCATCTGCTTGGCACTGATTACTGATAAGGATGATTAGTGGTTTTCTTCATGTTTACTAGGTACTTAAAAGGTTAAAGCCTTCATGTTCCATCAGCACCTCTATCTCAGACAGTATTTAGAGTAGAATAGTTGAACACAATAACAATAAATTAATATTTGCCAGATTTACCAAATTCTGTATTTCTTCCCTTAATATCCACCCACAACGTGAACTAAGATAGGCTCTTTTATTAAGAAAAAAAAATAAATTCACAGTTGACAGGACATATTGCCTTGTTTCTAGCTTCAGGTTGCTAAATACCTTCCATATGTGTCCCCAAATGTCTGGTTTGTTAGCTTATGCACCTATTATTGGCTTGGTTAAGCATTTTAGGATACTTCCATACGAAAATCCCTCTCTCAGAATTAAAAATTCTGACTTTTTGCAGTTCTTTTTTTTTTCATTTCTGTAAGCAAAACAAATAATAGCTCTCTTAGTTAAGAGCTAACATTTTTTCCGTTCTACATAAAGAACCTGCAAGACCACATCTCAAAGCATCACTGCTGCAAACAGTGCAAGTAGACACATAGTGGCTCAAAGGAGATTAAGAGGTTAGACAAAAGAAAAGCTAAGGAGAAACCGAGCTCCACAAGGAGATATTTTAAGGCTACTGCTTACTCCTAAGGAGTTGCTTCATGCCAGATCAAGAAATACTGTAAAAACTCCTTAGCTCTCGTATCTCAGAGCACGACAGTATTAGACAGGTATATTCATAATGAAAATGCACAGACTTCTAAAAAATTTACTGTATATGCACAATAGAAAGGGTATATTTTGACTCGGGAGGGAAAATGACAGAAAAAAAAATTCCAGTGCTAGATCAGCTTTAGCTACCAAAACCAGAGAGAGATTTCAGCAGTTGCAAACACAACATGATTGGTGTTGGTACATCATTACTAAGAGAAGTTCCAGGAATATCCCATTACAGTCTGGTTTCCTAAAGCGTAGAAAAAGCAGCGTTCTACTGGCGCCAGTGAACCAGCTGTTGCTGTCTCAGAAAGACATCTTTGTAAACAGAGCAGACAAGCTACCTATAGGAATACTGATTCAAATGTAGGTTAAGAGAGAATAAGTTGTTAGTAATACCCTGGAATTTGTTGCTGCTCATTAGACCTTGAGGAGAACTGAGAAGAGGGACACAGGCAAGAAAAAGGTGCAATTCAAGTGAACAATAAGACTTAAGATTGTAGTCAATTTTCTAAAACTAACTGGTCTGTCTCCTCTTATTATGGTCAAGACTGGTCTTTTGTAGCGCAGCCAGTTTCTGGACAATAAGTTTACTATTACCACCACGTCTCATTGAGAGTGCTTGCATTGAAGAGTATCTGGACAATGGAGTTGTAAAAGGCTTCTGCAACTTAGAGTAGAATTTCTCCTTCCTTTTTCCCAGTGCTGCATTAAGTATTGAAATTCCTTGTGGGTAATGTCTTCCCTTTTTTGTTATCTTGTTTTGGGCAAAAGATACTTGAATATGCATCTCATAACTAAATGTTATTTCCTTTCCTGTTTAACATAAACAGGAATGTTCACAGTAGTTATTTCTCTTCTTCCATCATACAGAGAAGTTTAAAAGTAAATAGAAGCCCAAACTGTCTCTAGCCCTGAATCCTGTCTCCAGCCAAGTATCAAAGGGGAAAAAAACAAAAAAAAAATCAAAAGAAACAAGCGACACGAAACCAAAGCAAACATTTACTGATACTTCTACAAAAGACATTCTCACCTTCCAGTAACGTGCCGTTCGAGGGGTTCCTACACTCAAGGTAATCATAGAATCATAGAATGGTTAGGGTTGGAAGGGACCTCAAAGATCATCTAGTTCCAACCCCCCTGCCATGGGCAGGGAAATCCTCCACTACACCAGGTTGCCCAAAGCCTCATCCAACCTGGCCTTGAACACCTCCAGGGATGGGGCATCCACAACTTCTCTGGGCAACCAATAATACCTTTGCATCGAATAGTAATCAACAAATAAAATGTACGTATGTTCGAAAAGTATTATTGCACAAATCTAACCAACCACAATTACAGCATCTTCTGGCAAGTAAACCCACAGCTTCATCAAAATAATACAGATGAACTGTATGAACTTCCTAGATTCATTGGCTGTCTCTGATCCAGTTTTTCCATGTTGCAGAAGTGCATTAGACTGTACAGAGAAATTATACCCTTTACTCAGGGCTGGTGAGATCATACTGAGAATACTGCCTCCAGTTTTGGGCTCTCTCCACGTTTAAGACGACTTATTTCTATATGATAAGAAGCATGGTCAAAAAACTACCATATTTGTAGATGGGATTAAGAAAGAAAATACTGCAGAGATTACAAGGCAGCTTCTCCTAGTTACCACCAAAAGATGTATTAACCTTCCAACCAGAGAACAGGGTTGCCATTAAATAGAAGTAATTTGGAAAATTGTTTCTGTAAGTATTTCAACTTCAGTAAGTCATTTTCCAGTTAAAAAGTCTTCAGTAAACTTATTGCAGTTAAGTCACAAATTTGGAAGCAACAATGGGGAGCGTTTATTTCCTGTTATCAGCTGCCACTAAAAGAAGACATTTAATTGACCTGCAAAAGCAAAGAAGAACAAAATTGGTGTGGGCTACTTCTTTTTCCTGAGTGTAGGAATGCAAAGATTTCCTCTGTCCACAGCATCAGAAATTTATCTTGTCTTTTTCAGAGCTCTGCAAAATGAACCCAAATCCCACCGTTACATTAAAGATATTGAAAGATAAGTAACTACACTAAAAAGTCTGGATGGTGGCTAAACTGACTGTTTAATTAAATACACGCTTAGCTCCCAATATTTAAAAGGAAAAAAGATCTTAAGATTTAACAAGCTGATCATTAAGATAGAGATCCAAAAGAAACTGGAATCCCTAACAAGTCTTTTAAAGGCACTGAGGAAGAAAAGAAATGAACATTATTCATGTATTTTGAGTTAAATTGCTTTTCAAGCCAAGACAGTATAGAAAATTGAACATAGATCATTAGAGGATGTTTTTAATGCAAATTATTTTTAGAACACCACAATGGAAGAGATCTACAAAATGCAGAATTGTGAACAACGCTAGCTAATTGTTTAGGACCCAGAGCTGCAAGATGTAGAAGCCTTATTTATAGTGAGATCATTTTGATATCACAACACACTCTGGATGGTCCAGACTGACACACTACTATGGGTGGAACAGTATGGTTACATCTTTTACCATCAGCCTAGAGACCTCACACTTGAAACAGTAAGGGAGCTTGGAAAAGAAAAGGCAGAAATCAAGAACAGAGCCTAAAGAAACAGATAGCAATCTACATCCTCTAATCTTAAACTGAGTTTCTCTCTGTGGAGCATCTCTGCTCTGAGAGTCCTAAAAATAATACCTATCAATACCCTAAAGATACCCTAAAGGGAAAAATAGCTATCTACATCCTCTAATCTTAAACCGAGTTTCTCTTTATTAAGCACTTTGCTCTGTGAAGGCATTAGGCTTCACTGATCCCCACAAGAATTCAAGATAAACCATCCGCTCTTTCATCGGGTTGCTTGAAGCCCACCTTTTATTAGGTTGCTTGGTTGCCAATATTTAATTGTTTTTCATTAAATGGTGCTTTTTCCTCAAGTAACCAATGACTCATACCAAAAGGTAGTCTGCTTGTTTCACTTGGAAGGACTCTGCTGCCACGACTAGCTCCTTTTGCCACCTTTCAGAGGAAAGGAACAGGAAGGCTAATCGCACTGCTATGAAGACCAGTCTTTTAAACGGGTAAAAAACTCATTTATAAACAAGTTTGCTTCTTTTACATAAAATTCCTTTTTAAAAAGCAAATAACTTTATAAAGAAAGGCTGAAGTAACACAGCAGACTTACATGTGTTAGCAAAAGCATTTGAACTACACTTAAAACTTCCAAAAAAAGCTTTCATAGAGGATCAACCTGTCATTGTGCACAGGGGAAACTACTATAGCCCAAATAAAGGGCTAGGAGCATTTAGGCATCTTTAAGTGCTAGTGGCAATCGGTGCTATGACATAGAAGGAAGACACTGTAGCAATTGTTCTACATGTACCGGTATTCAAGATAAGGTGTTACTTGCAAGGTATAGGAAGTAAACTAGTATAGGCTAGTGCAGATAAAAGACTGCCATTGTTATGTGCTGAGCTATGAGACTTAATGTACGCTGGCAAGCACAGAAATCTACATAATAAAGACTTGGCACTAGAACCTACTCTCAGATGAGTAAGTCTTGAAATTAATACATTTGGTGACGACTGCTGAAAGAAAGGCAACTTCCAATAAAATAAAAAATTTAATTTTTCATCTGTCATTGGGGGACCTTTTTCTTAACCATACTTAAGGGTTAAGATAGAATCATAGAATGGTTAGAGTTGGAAGGAACCTCAAAGATCATCTAGTTCCAAGCCCCCTGCCATAGGCAGGGAAACCCTCCACGACATCAGGTTGCTCAAAGCCTCATCCAACCTGGCCTTGAACACTTCCAGGGATGGGGCAGCCACAGCTCCTCTGGGAAACCTGTTCCAGCGCCTCACCATCCTCAATGTAAAAAATTTCTTTCTTATATCTAATCTAAATCTACTCTCTTTCAGTTTAAATCCATTGCCCCTTGTCCTATCACTACACGCCCTTGTAAAAAGCCCCTCTCCAGCTTTCCTGTAGGCCCCCTTTAAGTACTGGAAGGCTGCTATAAGATCACCCCAGAGCCTTCTCTTCTCCAGGCTGAACAGCCCCAACTCTCTCAGCCTGTCTTCATAGGAGAGGTGCTCCAGCCCTCGGATCATCTCCATGGCCCAACAGCTCCATGTCCTTCTTGTGTTGCAGACTCCAGAGCTGAGTGCAGTACTGCAGGTGGTGTCTCACGAGAGCAGAGTAGAGGGGCAGAATCGCCTCCCTCGACCTGCTGGCCACACTGCTTTAGATGCAGCCCAGGATACGGTCGGCTTTCTGGGCTGCAAGCGCACGTCATATGAGAAAGGTCAAGATGTGTTACAATTGCTTACTACAGGTGTATCTCTCTAGAGAGAAAGTCAGAAATATTTCCAGTTCGCTGAACCCTGTGTGCTCAAAACTATTAAGTGGCCTTTGGCTCCTAAAACAATTTTGATTCCATAGTTTGCTCTGTAGACTTCACTTCGCAGTGTTACCAGTGGACTAAGAGTCCACTGCCGCAAAGGTGGCTCTGGTAGCCCAAGACACCCTGATACTGCTCTGAATAGCCTTAAAGCAGTAAACTTCTCAGCTATTCAGCAGAAAAAACACCTGTGCTAGAATTAAGCAACATTACTTACATATTATGACTTGTCTAATCTATCTGCCTTAGTAACAAAGCCTAGTCAGTACAACACCAGCATCTTTTTATTCCTTTTCACGGAAAGGATGACTTAATTACTGCAATATTAATGCATTAAGCAGAGAAATGGACGACTCGTTTGGTCGTCTCTTACCTGCAAGAAAACAGATTGTCCTGTGTAATCTCTAACATACACCTTAAAACCATCTTCATGAAGAAAAGTAATTAAAGAGCAAGTTAAATGGGAGAATACTATTCCAGTGGGAGTTCTTTGCTTTAACTTCTTGCTGTTGCAAGAGGAATCAGAAGTAGCACTAACAAGAAGCATCAGCACAGGTGATAGCTCTGCCCACAGATACAGTCTCTAAAAGATTTGACTGACTGTGCCATGTCATAATGAATAATCAGTATACTGCTCCTTCACTCAGTAAGTTTTCTTGTGCATGTTTTTCTTTATGGCAAAGTCACAGATGAAAGCACTGAGAATCAAGTATGATTCAGTGATCTTTTGTGATTAAGTGCTGTGAATGGCAGTTATGAGGGAAGATGAGAAAGTTCAGGGGTGAAGAAGTCAATTTAGCACTAGGAAAATAATCTACAATAAAAACTTACTTACAATCAGTAGTCAGAGAGCACGGACAAAACACAAAGCAGCAGGGAAAACTTCTTGCACATTAGAAAACTGCCCAGACCTCAACATATGCTACTTGCAAATTCTTGCAACAGCTCTGCTTGCGGCTACATGACACAGCTAAGCTAATAAAAGGCTCCTTTCTAGTTAAAGGAAACTTAAGCCTTTGCTGTGGATAAGGTTGCACATCCATCCCCAATCACAACACTGAACAGTCTCTGAGGAACATTTCAACCACACCAGGAATTCCCAATTGAACACTTTCAGACGTAAGAGTGTCTGGGCTCAGCTCACATGGTCCATCCATGTACTAGGGTACTTTGACAGAAAATGCTTTAAGTTTGCTTTAATATCTTCCTAAACAAACAATCATAGCATATCAACAAGCAAGCTGAGACAGAACGGAAACTAAAGGCCAGTCTTCTCCAGCTACATAAAAGCAGAAAGTCAATCTTGCCATGGAATAACGGGAAATTGCCAAAGAGGAGTTAACTATTCAGTTTTATTCAGAAGTCTCTCTTCTGCAGGAAGATTTCTGGGTTTTCTTTTCTATGAACTTAGCACTTCAGCACTAGATGCTAGACCCTAAGCAGCATTCTTATTAAATCTTGGAGTAAAGACAAACCAAGTGACTAAGCTTCATGTGAAACCACCAGCATCATGCCATTCGGACTACAAAAAGCAAAATGCTGTGATAAGAAGAAACTTGTAAAGGCAAGACCAAAAATACAGCAGCAGACTATATAATTTGTGTAAGCTTATTTCATTAAGGTAAATCCGTCAGTTCACATGACCCAGCAGTACTAAGTCATAGGTCTTTCTTTTAATCTTAAGCTTATATCAGAACAACAGTCATCTTCCACCACCACCCTCCTCCCCACAAACAAAAAATATCCACTGTGATGCTATCCTTTGGTCTGTACAGAGATTTTGCACAGTCAACTTACTTTTCTTTCTTTTCCTGTTTGTGTGCTTCCCTTGCAAGCTGAGCAGCTTTTCTGCTGTAAGGATGGACAACTTTTTTCTCTTGCTTCCCTCCTTGGGTTTTTCGTAACTTTGGCTGAAAACAAATCAAAGATGCTTTATGCTACTAAAGTTAAGTAAAACATTAAAGGGAAAACAGGAGCACACACCATGATAAAGACTTAGAAGTCATACATCAATATCTCAGAAAGCCTTAACTTATAGTAGCAGCTTATCAGCTCCACCAGTTAGATCTCACCCTCCTCTAGTAACCAACAAAATTACTTGAACATGATACATGCTGTAAGAAAACTACTGGAGTACAGAAAATGCTGTAAAAAAAAAAAAACCACCTTACATAGTGACTACTCTCAAATTACCTATTTTGTAGAACCCTGCAGCTAGGAAACTAAGATTACCTCTCTGCGCCTTGGCAGTCAATGTCCTCATTCAAGCTTTTATCTGATTATTGCATCTGCATTTCTGACAATGGCCATAGGTAATTTGTAAAATATAACAAAAAGGATTTTCTTGTCCCTCCTCACAGACCATGAGAATGCCTCACACCGGAGCAGCCAGACACTTCCCCTCTCCAGCCCTTTATGCAGCACAGAGAGGGAATACTACTCACAAATTTTAAAAATACTGTAACACCAGCCGAACTTACGTTACTTTTTGGTGAAAAAGTGTTTGAACAAAACTGAAAGGCTGCATCAAACACTATGCGATTTAAATTCTTTAAAGTCTTTTACTGTGTGCAAAGTAAACACCTGAGAGCAAGGAGGCCAAACGTGCAAGTGTTATGAAGGAAACAGCAATAAATAAACTAAGACTTTAGTACATCATGTTACCTGTGTTAGCACTACGGTTCAGGATTGCGAAAAAACAGAAAACAAAAGTTACCCTGAACCCCTAAAGAACTCTTCCCAGGCACCCGGCAGTAGTTCCACACGTTATCCCAGCTGCTCACTCCCTCCTCCCGCCAGCCCGAGGTGCCCGCTGCCGG